TTTTTTTTTTTTTTTTTTTTTTTTTTTTGGTACTGGGGATTGAACTTGGGTCCTTGTGCTTGCAAGACAGGCCTCCGAACCGCTGAGCTAAATCCCCGGCCCCTGTTTTTTTCTTTTAATGGCCGTTTTGAGCCGCAGGTCAGATCTGGTGATGTTTCTTTGAGGTTGTCTTTCCTGGACGTCACTCAGCTGCAGCATCCTTTGTGTGTTTGGCCACAGTTCTAAACCGCTCACTGTGTAGACGCTCAGGCTTAGAGAAGGGGCGGAGGATAGTGCTGGGCTCTGAATTAGTCCTGAATTGTTGCTTTCATAGACACTTGTAGAGTTGACAGGAAAAGGGTTGTTACAGCAGCATCTCCCACAGGAGGAAAATGGTCTGTGTACAGGCCCACAGGCCGTTGCTGCCCAGAACTCAGAACGATCTGTCACCGTGCAGCTGCAGGGCCAGCCGGCCATTGTGGAACAAAGTTGACCTTCGGTGTATCCAGTTGAGTTCAAACAAGTTTTCTCCAACGAAAGGGCTGATGCCTTATCACTTAGTGTTGTAACTAAAGGAAGTCACAGCAGTCTTTTCCCAGGCTAGGTAAGAATTGGAAGACCTAAGCTGTGTTTACATTTTCCTTCCAGCTGAAGGAGGAGTCCTGTTGGGCACTGTCACTTAGTAAATGCTTGATTTTTTTTCTTTCCTGCCTGGCTCTAGAATCTGAGTTAGAGAGATGATATTTGTTATTTTTATGGTGTTTATCTGTTCTCTGACTTGTTCAAAAAGGGTTTGCAGTTTGTTTTAGAGTTTTAATAGAAAAAAGTTTTAAAAAGTAGCTAATGTAGTTAGCATGAAGAGGAAATAATAAGTCAGGGGCTACACTCTCACAATTCTGAGGAAAACTGCGGGTTTGGTTTGGAGATGTTTGGTTGTCATAACAAAGAGGGAAACAGTATTGTTTTTATGAGACTCAAGGGACACAAGACAGAAACACACCAGTTAGAAGAAACACTGCTGCTTTTCTTGGCAGTGGATGTGAAAAATGTCTCCTGGGGTGACATGAGTATTTCTGAGGGACCCTTGGCAGGCAGATGCTGAAGGTCTTGGCCCGTTCCTTTGTCATAACAGACACTAAAATTTCCAATAAAGCTAAAATTTTGAATTAGAAACAAAACTTCAGGTTCAGTGGTCCTTTGATCTTCTGTGCATCTGAGTATCTTCCAGTAGACCACTGCCCTGCCACCTTTCTTCTTACTTGTTTTCCGTTCTGGGTGCTCTGGTTTGGTGAGAGTCGTGTGAAGGTTTGTTTCCGTTCAGCACTTCTGAGCTGTGCGGGGATGTATGGAAAGGAAACATTTAGAGAACATGCTAAGAGGCATTTCTTTTTTTCCAGCTGATGTAAGCCAGCTTGTTAAATTACTTCCAACAACTGAAAACCATCATAGTTATGTAACATTTACAGATTTTTAGACCACTTTTGGTTTGTAGTTCCCCAGTAGCATAACTTTAGTGCTTGAAGTCTCCAGATGCATTGTGTGATTGGATCTCATAGTACAGGTAGATTCCACTGGGCCTCCGTAGCCACTGTGGCTCTCTGGTGTGTTTTTGGCCTTGTTTTGGTTTCTGTTGTTCGCTGTGCTTCTCTCTCCTTCGTTGTAAGATGGATGTAGACTTTACCAGTGAGATGCTCTGTGGATGGGTAGCCAGCAGTGGCTGACATCTTCCCGCTTCTTTCTTCCTCCCCCTGCAGAGACTTTGCTACTTTGAGAAGACATTTTTATTTTCCTTGTTGTCTTGATTTCCCCAAATTTCTAGAATCAGTTTAGTTCCTGTCTCTTTATTTCCATCAAAACGAGGCAATGGACATAAGGCCATAGATGAGTAAGGGAACTGTGCAGCTACACTGATTGTTAAAAACTGTTTTGTTTTTTTTTGCCAGGAGCGGTGGTGCATGCCTGTAGGTACCTGAGGCTCTTGGGGATATGAACCAGAACAATATCTGGTGTTCAGTTATGAACAAGTTACCTTCTCTTCTCTTTTTTCTTTTTTGGCACCAGGGATCGAACTCAGGACATTGTGCTTGCAAGGTAGGCAGTGGAACCACTGAGCTAAATCCCCGGCCCTTTTTCTTTTCTTGGTGTTTGGGACTGAACCAGGGCTGTGCATGCTTTGTAAACTCTACCACTGTGTCCTAGCCCCTTATCTTTTTATTTCTTAATTTCAGAGATCACTGAAAGGGGAAGGACAAACATTTTCAGCAATCTGATGTCACATATTTGAAATTTTATTGAAAAGGCATTTTAAAGTGTAGATAAGATAGTCTTTGAAGTTAATTGCTGGCCAGGACTTGCAGCCACTGGCACATTCGTCCATTGTTGGAAAGATCCTGGCAGCTGTTTTGGAGCAGGTGCAGATTCTGAGAGCTAAACATGTGGTCACTGTGTGACTCAGAGGTCCCGCGCCTGATGTTTATGCTGCAGGAGGGAAGCTTGCGGCCCCCAAAACCTGTGTGGCTGCTCATAGTGGTCCTTGGGATGAGTAAAAGTTGGAAGCCGCCTAAATGTCCCTCAGCCGGTGTGAGGAAAGTGCACTGCACACTGCACCGTGTCACGCTCGGTGGTCAGGCGTGGGTCACGGACACAGGTGACAAGCGGTTGTGTTTAGTCTCCCCAGGCGACGTTCTGTGTTACTTCTCGAGGGACAAGGGATAGCGACAGGGACTTTCTGGGTGATGAGCTGTGTGTGGTGGCAGCTGCCTGCATCTGCACATGTGTTAAAATGGTTAGAACTGCACTCCGAAAGGAAGCCAGCATGACTGTCACTGCACGGTGACCCAGAGAGACAGACAGGCTGTTGAGCCTCACTCAGCTCACGGTGGCGCAGCACTCGGGCTGTGGGAGCCCAGTCAGACCCATGTCTTGGAGTTACTGGCTCCAGGATGGAGCCTTTTATTTTCCATACCTATGGAATGGAGAAAACTTGCTCAAAGAGTGAGACGACTGTTTCCTCTCAGGACTGTATGCAGGTAGCTGTTACTCTGAAGAGGTGTGGAAGCCAGGTGTATTCCATTCTGAGTGGTAGAGGCAGATGGAGATGCAGAGAAATGGCCTCTGCAGAGTGAGGCCTCTGAAGTAACTGGTTCAGGCTGAAGTTAGGCCGGTCCCTCGACTTCCCTGTGCTGTGCCCTGTGGCCGGATGCAGCCACAGAGGTGTGCTGGGGACTTTCGTCCTGCTCCCCTGCTCTCTAATTCCAGTGAGGAGATGTGATACGTGCACCCAGGAAGGAAGTTGGAAGTAGATGAAGAAACGTAGGGTTTCCTGTGTTCATCTGGTGGGCGATCAGGCCATGTGATGGTGGAGCGGACTTCTCAGTGCTTCCTGATGGCGAGCACGCGGGAGGGGCCGGAGCTCCTCCTGCCATTGAGCCAGGGCGGTTCTGCTCCAGCAGGGGGTGGGGCTGGTATCACCGACTTTGCTTTAGACCCCTTTATTATTGTCAAATTATAAAGCTTATTGAGCCCTTTCCAATTTCAGCCACATAGGTGAAGAATAATTATTTTTCAGTTATGCATGTATCGCTTGCACTTTACTGGAAAAGTACAGTGACTTTGAGATTCCAAGATGAACGAAGAGAAGATGAACATAACAGCAACGGTCACATTAGCGGGTAGAACATGCATGAGCCACTGCATTTACAGTTCATAGTGTCTAACATGCTGAGTAGAGCAGTAGTTACTTGGCTCAAGAGCACGCTAGCACATTTTGTAGTAAGGTGCAATGCTTATAGACTCTTGGTGTCAAATGATACTGGAGAGAACTCTTGCTTGGCCGGGGACTTAGCGCAGTGGCACCACACCTGCCTTGCAAGGGCAAGGTCCTGAGTTCGATCCCCGGTACTGGAAAAAAAAGTGAGAGAGAGAACTCTTGGTGAAATGCGTGGCTTGTTGTAATTAAACTTTGTCTTTCCTCCCAGGAGAAATCTCAATTATTTTTCCAATGCATATGCAGCTGCGGTCAGTGCAGTGGATCCTGACGCGGGCAATGGAGAGCTTTGCATTAAGGTTCCGTCTGAGCTGTGGAAACACGTGGATGGTAAAGCGCCAGAGCACCCTGTCTGCGCAGCGTGCAGATTCAGGGCCCAGACAGCGCTACATAAAAGTGGATGGAAGCTAGGTCATGAGTGGAACTAGAGAAGGGCCTGGGAACGCTCTTGTTGGGGAGCCTGGCTGACAGGAATATACCACTCAGCCGTCTCCCTGTTGGTACGGGGTTTGCGCTGCTGAGCACAGGACCTCGGTTTTGGTAGATGCCAGGTCCAGGGACCACCACTGAGCTCCATCCAGCCAATTCTGCTATTATTCTCAGAGCAAAAGATGTTCTAAAAATCATATGGATGGGACAGTTTGTCGGGATCCAGGAGCCTGTGCAGTGTGGAGTCAGTTAGAATGGTGGCATCCCGCAGTGGAAAGGTCTCACAGAGTTGTCCGCCGAGGACAGCAGGGGAAGAGGTGGCCACCCACCCCCTGCAGCTCTGTCGGCTGAGTCCTGGCAGGCAGAGCTAGAGATGTGGCTCCGGCTCCATTCTCCCTCGTAGGCCGATCCTTCCTGAATCTTCATTTCATTTCATGTCACGTTGTGGCCACTGCAGGCATGTATGACAGCTCTGTCTGCCCTCATTTTATGAAAATTAGCCAAGATAAGAAGGCAAACGTTTGTTTTTGCTTTCTGTATCTGTGAGGCCAGGGGAGGTTGTGGAGAGGGATTAGCCAATTTAGGGCACAGGCATAGAGGTTCAGCACTATGAGTTCAGATGATTATATTTGGGGGCAATTAAATTTTTTTTAGTTTTTTTGAGACAGGGTCTCATTATGTAGTTGAGACTGACCTGCAACTCACTATGTAGCCCAGGCTGGTCTTGAACTCACAGCGATCCTCCTGCCTCAGCCTCCCGAGTGCTGGGATTATAGGTATGAGGCACCACGCCCAGATAAATATTTTAAAATTTTAATAAAAGCAACTTTTTTTGATTGTTTGCTTTATTTGAAACAGGTTCTTGCTATGTAGCCCAGGCTAGCCTTAAACTTGTAACAATCCTCCTCCCTAAGCCTCCCAAGGGCTGATGTGCTTAATATACAGAAATCATCATGCAAATTCTGGGGACTCCTAAGCAACCTCACCCCTCTTTCTTTTAACTCCAAAGTCTCAAGTTAATGCTTTCCAGGGAAATGTTAAAGAAGATGAAACTGGAAAAGTGAACTTTGGAGTGGCATGAGGAAGCCTTAAGTGTCGGTTGGGGAATCAGACACTCTGCTGAGAGTAGGGAGAGCAGAACTGTGCTGATTAGGTCGGTGGGGGCAGCAGGGACGCTGGCGGAGGCAGGCTGCGGAGTTGGCGCAAGGTGAGAGAGGCCTGAAGCTGGGGCTGCGTGAGCAGGGAGGCTGAGCGTACAGTTCAGGCTTGGAGTCCCGGCCCATGCTCTCTGTGTGACCGCCCGTGTCATGCAGGCTCCTGTTACTTGTTCATGCAGCAGTGGGTGTGGTTTTTCTGTTGCAGAATTAAAAGTCCTGAAGATACACATTAATTTCTCCCTGGATCAGCCAAAAGGAGGCCTGCACTTCGTGGTGCCCAGTGTAGAGGGGAGCATGGCTGAGAGGGGTGCTCACGTCTTTTCCTGTGGCTACCAGAATTCCACAAGGTACATCATAATCAGCTCTTCCAATGAATTATTTTTCCCGGTGCTCTTGTTCTGTGCATACATATGCAGTACATTCATTTAGTGTAAAGACAAAGTGTGAGTTTGATTTTCCCAAACTCATGCATAGTCTGTGTCTTCCTCTTCTGTCCTTTCACATGTAGTGTTGTGGAATAACCATCTTACTTGATTCTTTTCTTTAATTTCACTTTGAAGTAGAACATGTATATAGGAAATAGCACAAATTGTAAGCTGAATAAATTTTCACAAGTGAACAAATCATCTGATCTGCAGTCAGGTAGGACGGTGTTTGTACCATCTCACCGCTTTCGCTGTTCCCAGCATTCTCTGTCCAGCTTCCTGTTTTTCTGCAGTGCCACTGGTTATTACACTTGCTTTTGAGCTTTATGTAAATGGAATCATCTGCTTTATGCTCCTTATATCTGGCTTGTTTTGGTCAACCTTGGAAGTGAGATTTACCTGCATGTTTTGTGCAGTAGTACCCACTTTTATTCATTCTCATGGTCTTCTAGTTCATTACCGACTACTGAAGCCTTTTAGTATGTGTACTCTCCTTAGAATGATGTCTTACACTCGTTTATGTTTCCATAACAAATGTTACTGACCCAAGCACATGGTAGGACCGACCTAAATTAATAGAAAGCCAAAAATAAATTGTATATCTGGCTTTGTCAGCATTCAATTTTAATTTATACAGTGTGTTATATGCACCAATAAAAAGCAGTTTCCTAACTCATGGAATAGATTCTGAATATGAAATACATTTTAAAACTGTTTTTAGTTTCCTAACATGAATGCTATGAAAAAACTGGCAGGTGTGAATATACAAATTAAAACTTTTTAATTTAAAAGTAGGAATCTAAGAATTGATTAATTTTCTAGGGTTTAAGCTGGAGCTAACACTGATGTATTTTGTGAACATTACCAAATGATCCTTGAAGTAGAGTTTTTAATACGATTCTTTTTGGTACCGGGGAGTGAACTTGGGACCTTGTGCTTGTGAGGCAGGCTGTAGCACACTGAGCTACATCCCCGGCCCTTAGTAAGATTCTTTCAAGTTGCAAAGTGAAGAGTTTCATTGGCCAGATAGAAATGTTACTATAACTTAGACGTGGGGAGACAGAGCTCACTTGTGGTGTACTCTCCACTCTGTCCTCTTGACTTTAGGTTTTGGTTCCCATGTGTGGATTCCTACTCTGAACTGTGCACGTGGAAGTTGGAGTTCACAGTGGATGCCGCCATGGTGGCCGTCTCCAATGGCGACCTGGTGGAGACCGTGTACACCCATGACATGAGGAAGAAGACCTTCCACTACATGCTCACCATCCCCACTGCGGCATCCAACATCTCTCTGGCCATTGGCCCTTTTGAGATCCTCGTGGACCCTTACATGCATGAGGTGAACTGCAGCCGCTCCCCCCACTGCCCTCCCCTCTCTCCTCCACTCTGCCCTCCCGCACTGCCCTCCCCTCCCTCCCTCTACCCCC